GTTATTTATGTCTGATATATGCGAGCGCGAGCGTGCAATGATTCATGCACTGATATGATGCAGTCTTCATTTTGGTAAGTTGAGCACCAGAAAAAAGGAAACAAAATTATGAAAGTGTACCATGGAGGAATATAAGTCCTCTTAGTTGTCATTTGATCAGAAGTTTGTCCACAGTCGATGTTTTTGTGTGTTTTGTAAGTAATAGTTCAGATAAGCCCCCGGATGCGCGGATAACACTAGCATTGACTAGGCCAGGGAGTAGGGGCCCTGTGCACATAAAGTTAATTATTAAGCATCACAGTCTTAAGAATTGTCCAACTCATCACTAAAATTTTGTTTATGTTGGGCTCGATTACTCGATCATTGAGTGATCATAGTAATTACATGTAGGCCTAGTTGATCTTATTGCATGATTCTGCCACTGTTTTTGAAGATTGTTTCTAAAAAGGGAAACTAAAGTTGGAGATTTCACACAGGATTGACCAGTAGTACTGTTTGGCCTGAAGTGACTGGGTGATTGTGTAGATTGGCTGATCTTGTCCAACATCAATTTACATGTACATGGTTTGGGTCCTTTTTAATGTATTGGTGTTTATGTGTGGTGCAGTCAGTAGACCTGCACAATCACTTGATTTTTGCTTAAAAAATCGTATCACACAATCTGCCGACAATTCCACCATCAGCCAGTTGCCTTTTCTTTCTCTACTTTACAGTTAAAGAAGATTTTTTTTTTAAAGGGGAGCAAAATTGGCACTTTTAAACAGGACTGACTGATAGCACAATGTCATATGCAGCCAGAAATGAGACAGCCAAATCCGCACGGTCTTCCTTGTAGCACCACTACACTGCTGCAGAACTGAGCATGCGCATTAACAAGCAGAAGCTCACAGGTACGCTGTGAAAGCACATATATCCGCGTACGTGTAAAACAGAACAGAACACCTGCGAAACTTTATTGCACGCTTTCCTCTGACATGTCTGACTCACGTGTAGCACTGTGTAGCAGCGGGTTTGTGCACAAGTCAATGGTGTAGCACTTTTTTGCTACATGCCGCGGCCCCTTCCTTTTTCATTTTCCCGTGTAGCACTGTGTAGCACCTGGTTTGTGCACAAGTCTATTGTGTAGCACCTTTTTGCTACACGCCGCAGCCCCTTACTTTTTGTGGGTCTTCGTCTAGCACTGTGTTGCATTAGTGTGCACTTGAAGGTCTGGTTCTTAGACCATCCAATCGGCTGTGCCTATATCCTGTTGCGTATCACCTGACTAAACATTCCGTGTAGTATGTAGCACTGCTACACACACAGGTTCTGTCTTCTTCGGTCTCATTTGTGGCTTGGTATAATTTCTGAAGTATTGTTACCTAAAACTGGTTACCTTTTAGCGATAATCAAGCCTCTCTTTCCTTGCAGAATTTGCATGCACAGCCTGATCAAGTGACTGCTATGAAATGGCGGAATCCCAAAATGTGAGTTCTCTGCCCCTGCCGCCAATGCAGTATGTGAACAATTACACCGATGAGAGGGTGAAAAATGGCACAGCACCCAAACCGCCTACACCAGTGAGTGAAAACTACAACATGTTTGGGGCTGTCTTTACCCCTGACGATGTCATTATCAGGTCCTTGGAGTCGCAGAATCTGCGACGCCTCCACCCCAAGGTCTTTGACCATAGAAAGGAGCTGAAGAAGATCAACCATTCCATCCTCTTCAACTTCCTGGATATGCTGGACGTGCTGGTGGTGGCGCCTGGCAGCAAGAAGCGGGAGGAGAAAATCGAGGACATCAAACTGCTATTCATACACATGCACCACCTCATCAACGAGTTCCGCCCCCACCAGGCCCGAGAGACACTGCGCGTCATGATGGAGGTGCAGAAGCGGCAGCGGCTGGAGGCGGCCGAACGCTTCCAGAAGCACCTAGAGAAGGTGACAGAGATCCTGCAGAGCTGCTTCGGGTCGCTGCCGGACAACATGGGGCACATCGACAGTAAGATTGCTGCGAGGATGGAGCCCCAGGCAGAAGAGGTCAGCAAAGCAACCGAGGGAGATTCTGCCGAGAAGCAGGATGAAGCAAATGGTCAAAAGGAGCTGGAGGTCTCCTTTTACCACAAGGACAAGCTGATGTGTAATCTCGTGGACTCAATATGAGTGGATATAAAACAAACTGGAGTAGGAATCAAGACTTGCGTACACAGTGTACACACATGTACTTTAGTGAAAGATGGTCTTTTCAGAACATGTTGACCATAGATAGCAACAAATCTGTTAAAACTATAAAATAATACTCAGGCCTTTCACCTGAAGGAGCAACATTCATGTATAGATTTGTAAATTAGAAACCAGGATGACTCTAGTTGCCAAGTGCATTTTTATACAGTATTATGTACATACATGTACAGTACATGACTTAGAACCTGGACTGACCCTGCAACATTCCCTTCAGAAGTGAGTTATACATGTATATCAAATATGGAAAGCTGCCATTACTTCATAGCTACTACTAACCAAGCAAGGGCGGTGTATAGGTTTCCCAGTGGTCCTTTTCACTGATAAATTCAATATAATACACGCATGTGCATAAATAGCCATTGCAGCAAAAAGCATGAGCGGCCCATTGATGCATGACAGGGGCACAAACATTGTGGTCATTGACTCTCAGATTCTGAGAGTGCTTTTCACTTCTGTATTCAGGAAGCCCTGTAATATTGCCAGTGCTACAGCTTTCTGGTTTATAAGGGTTTTATGAGGCACAAAATAAAGAATAAAAAACTTTGCCCTTGTGCTTAGCCTACGATGTCAAAAGAAAGTATAAGGGCTCCATTCTAAATACCAGTGTGTACAATAAACAGTCTTGAGATTCAGGGTACCATGCACCACTATAGTTAGCATTTTGCACATGTGTACAGGGACCAGCGTTATTTCTAAACTGCAGCCTTGTCGCTGTCGGAGGCTTTAATTCCTGACCTACAAATCACTTGTAGGCATATGGTGTTCAAAAATAAAGAAAATACTTTCCCAAAAGTTAAATTTTGTAATAGCAAGTTGTCGCTCTTTTACTTGGCTAACAACTTTAAAGTGAAAAACCGTCAGAGTGACACATGGATTTAAAGTTGGAATTTGAAAACCCACAATTCAGACTCTGCGAAATTAGTACATTGTACCCTGACATATCTCACATCTCTTCTTTGAGCTCATGCAGAAAGGAGACCTATGGACTTACTGATTTCTGTTGACCTTTTGCACTTGCACTTGATACTTTTAACTCTTAATTTTGTGCTCCATGAATCCCTCTTAGACAGAATGCAACAGTTCTAATGATTTTAGAGAGTTTTCTCTAATAGAAAAAACCATGAAACTATCTGCAGGACCTTCAAGAAAATGGCAGTAGAATTTCTACCCCAGTACATGTTTAATGGGCTACTCACACTATTTGCCACCATGGCCATACAGGTGCAGTGTATATGCACACACGTGCATAATCATGAATTTATTAATGAAAATTCTGGGAGTCCTGCACATTATTATGCATATGCATTTGTGCACATCATGTAGAACTTTCATGAATTCATAGTTTTATTGAACTGGCAAATAACAAATTTCATTTTCTCTTCACACTAAAGTGAAAGCATGCTTGACCTATTCATGTGTTATCTCTAAATGAATTTGCACTGGATTCATTTGATAGTCTTAACAAATTGAACAAAGCATGCTTGGGTCAAGTTTGGAGTCAAGTTCAAATCCACCTTTCATTCTCTATTTTGAGCCTGTTTGTATCCTGTTTCAGCTAACAAGCTGAATTTCTACAGCAAAATTGTGTTTGAAATGTAAGTGTATATGCCTCGGCATGCACATGTACCTGTCATTCCTGCAATCATGGAATTATTCATCATTTTTTAATCCCCTTGGCCCATTTGGTGAAAGACTGTCTGAACATTAAACAGCAAGTGGCATGTTCCCCCGATTTTTTCTCCATGTTTGTATTGTTCTTTTGGTTTTCTCTAATTCTTGTTTCAGGAACTGTATGTGTAGGGGGAAGTCAGAGAGACACATGACAAAATGATTTGGGTCATTTGTTAAGAGGGATATTCGAACTGCATATGTCCCATCTGCCTAATAACTGCACTTGTATGCTGATTCGCACAACTCGTTAATGAATAATTGGCATGAATTACTTGCCTCTGTAAAATAAAGTTGTTAAATAATGTTCCCTAACCCTGGCAAATTACACACAAAATCAACATTCTGCTTTCAGAAGATGGCCAAGTAATTGGGGTTTTAGTGTTTGGAACTATGAGGGACTCGTAACTTAGAACATATAGAATTATCTCCAACGTAATGTATAACATATATTTACGATCAACTTTCATCAACGACGCCCTTTAAAACTCCTTGGTTTTGTAAACATTGTGATACCCGTTAATTAAGACGAGTACCTGTACTCTAACACGTATACTCCACAAAATGCAGTTGGAGGAGGTCTGTCTATAGCTTTTTCAAGATGGCAGCCTCCATCGTTTCGAAACGTGTGCCACACTTTCGCAAGTTTAATCATCCACCCAAGGCCTGAAAATGATAGAGGACCTTCTCCCTCCGTCACCAAATTGGTACTGCAGTCAGGCTTGTGACTGTAGTTATGATGGATTGTTTGCATATGCCACAAGAAATTCGATCTTTCTGCTCGATGTTCGAAACAACTCGCCGAGTTACGCGGGATGCTTAACGGGGCATTCGGAGCGGGTGACAGCGGTAAAATTTGGCAGAGAGACCCACGACAGACACCTCTGTGCTACAGCGGGCGACGATGGTTGTGTAAAAGTATGGGATACACGAAATAAGGCTGTTTTAAATGACCATCGGTATCATAACGAGGTAGGTCTGACATGTCTGACATCACTATCAAAATAATTACTACTACTAGGCCTAGTACAGGCCCATGTTTATTGGTAAACGTCTTTGGACAGCACTATCGATTATGTACACAGCCTCATTTTTGTTTTTTTTTGCTGGTTCGATTTTAGTGCTTGAGTGCGGCTGTGTTGGTATTTCCCCATGTCTAAAAATAACTGAAATTACATAGAACCCCCTATTCTATGACTTTTCTAGTATTTACATGAAATACATGAGGTTTTGATGATATAGTTACAAGTTGGCCATTTTATTTTTTCCAGGAAATATTTCCGAAAAACCAGTTGAAATTGACTCCTCTCATCCGGGTCAAGTATCGCATCAGAAAACTTGTCAAAACCTTTGATGATTTTTTTAAAGATGACTTTACACATTTTCTTTTCTGTGATTGTTTGATAGTTTTATTATTTTTTAGTCATTTGTGAAATTTGACATGATTTTATCGATCTGCACATTGTTTTTTTTGGCCTGCAGGATGTGTTCGATCTCAGTTTTATGCCTACTTGTTACAATTTTTGGAATGAATTTCACTGCAATTATGGCAATGAAACTGTCGTTTTGCTTCTGCTTAAATTTAATGGATTTTTCCAAAGTGTATAGATGTGTTGGGAAAAAGAAGCCGTATGTTAATTGTTAGTCATGTGACCTGAATATCGCTTTCTGTTTGGCTTAGAGTCTGTCGTCAGCTCTTCCCAGCTGACTTGTTCTTTGATTTCCAATAGACGAGGATTTTAAGGGAATTATAAAGCCATAATATTTATTTCTTTATTTATTTTTGTAAAGATTTTAAATACTTAGGTTAATCTTTTCTTTTTTTGCTATTTCTATCATGCTGTTTAAAACCTTAAAGAATTTTTGTTTCCATTCTGTATATTCCTATTGCCTGTACAAGACACAATTATGGCCCTAGCTCATGTCTCTTTTTTGCTTTAACTTTCTTATTTTTTGTCAGAGGGGGGTTGCCTGTTCCCTCAAAGTATCCCCCAACACCAGGGATAACATTATTGCAAATCAAAGGTTTTGGAGAAAACTGAGCCAAAAAGAAATTCATGTAATGTGCAGGAACCCCTTTCATCTCAGAATGCAACCTTTTCGTTCATTTGAAATTATACAGACTTACATGTACAACACTGAAGGTTGGACCAAAATGGTCCGCAATGGTTAAGGTTTAGTGCAGACTGAAAAATACCAAGAAAAGATTCTGCCGCTGATACATGTTGATTACATGGTTTGGAATGTTCCTTGCCACATAACAGAAAAAAAGGGGCTTTCATTGTTTATACTAAGCTTTGCCGTATTCACACTGCATTCTCAGTGTGGTCAGAGAGTTCCCCCAAAATTACAAACTTGCTTGGGTGGGATTCTAGTGCAGAATTAGTTATATTCTTACTGCTTGGTTTGTCAATCTCATTGTGATTTCTGACAGAATAAAGTGACAGCAGTCCAGTGGTGTGCCTCAACAGTGCCAAACAGTCAAGTCATTTCAGGAGATGAGAAGGGCACCCTCGTCTGGTGGAATCATGCCAGTGGCGGGGGTAAGGAGTTCACACCTGAAAAACGGCACATCTACTGTCTTGCGAGCTGCCCACACAATGGGGAATTTGTTGCCATTGGGTAAGGTTTGTTGAATGTGTTTGACGATAATCCTGATTCTTTTGAAAACAGTCTTCCACTTTGTCTTTAATTTGTTTCGACTTACATTTTTGATTGGAGAAGTGTTGCTTATACGTAACAGCACAGGGGGATGGAGGAATGCCTGATGAGCTGCTGAAGTTCAACTTCTTGTTTCTTTTGCTTGAATTTTTTGGGGGGGCCTGGGAAAGTCTTGTGATTTGGCAAGATACTTGTCCATCAGGTGTCATCGATATTATGACCAAAACAGTCGCCAAGTTTAAAGGGTCATCATTTTTTTCAATCTTATTGCAAATCTGAAAGTCATGCTACGTTTAGTTTTCATGGTTATGGCCCCACAAACAGCTACAAAACAGGTCTGGTGCTGATCGTGGACATCAGCGGCAAAGGGCAAATACTTCAGAGATTGAGAGGTCATGATGAGGAGGTCCACTCTGTCTGCTGGTCCCCAGGACTTGGGGAGGACATCCCTCTTCGCAAACCCAAACAAGACGGAGACAAAGCCGAATGCCAAGTTGTCCCTACTGGCTCGCCTCCTGATGATTTTCCCATGGCGACTGCATCAGCCCTTCCATCGACACTGAGAGAGCGAGGATGCCTGCTTGTCTCGGGGAGCCGGGATCGCACCCTCAAAGTCTGGAACACCACCCAGGGGAAGGCAGTGCTGACCCTGGCCCTGCCCCCACGGGGAGGCGTGCAACGCACAAGGGATCGGAGCGATGACGGAGGAAAGGCAAAGGTGTGGGTGGGTCTGTGCTGGCCATCTGACAAGCCCAGGGAATTTCTTTCAAGTTCTTACGGGTGAGCAACAATTGAAAAAAATGTGCACATTGCAAAAATGTCCGCAATAAATGTTTGTTTGGTCTGGGTTGGAATGCATGTACGTGTATGACATTATTAGTTGGTATTGGTGTGCTTTTTTGCCATGGTCTTTACCAGTTTGCATCGTCTGATATTTACACTGTCACATTTCTCTACTTCTTGAATGCTTTAGTTTAAAGAGGCTTCAAGGAGAAATATTGAGTCACTGATACATGTGATAGATCCCTGATTTTCTTTTGCTTCCAGAGGAGATCTTATTTTGTGGGACTTGTGCAAACCTGGAAAGCAGAAGTGGGAATACATTGGCATGGACAATCATAATACTGCATCTCACAATAGGATCATATTCAACATATCAAGCATTCCACACTGTCCTGATATGTTCATCACCACATCGATGGACAGACAGGTAAGGCAGTGGTTTATCTGCATAACTTGCAAGTGGTAAACACCACACAAACAACATGATCATTGTACTGTTTGTATCATTCAGTTTATCAGGTGTTGATCAGGTTTGACCGCTAACCAGTCAACTGGTGGTGGATATGTGAGTACCAGTCAAATGTTACCTCAAAATATTATGGTACTGGTGCTTTGCTTTAAGTTAGATTTGCAAGGCAAACAATATGATCAACCTAAGGTTGCCTGTAATAGCCCTGCCATTGTCAACTTCAGTGCATTCAGTGATTTTCTATTTAACTTGTGTTAACATAACCATGGTTCATGATCAAACTTGAGTGGTATTGCACCTCTCAAAATTTGAACTAAATCAGTTTTTTAAAACATTTTACGCAAGTTTTGACATGCTTGTTTTTCAGATCATATGCTGGAACAGAAAGACACTCAAGATGGTTTGGTTAATCCCCACCCTAGGGGGATTCGTCTACACTCTGTCAGCTTGTTCTGTAGATCCAGGTTGCCTGGCACTGGGAGTGGGGGACAACATGATCAGGGTGTGGAACTCTTCGTCCCCAGGGAGGGGGAAGACTATCAGCATCCTGTGGCAGGGAATCAAATCAAAGGTCACAGCGGTAGGTTTGAATGTCTGTCTGAAACGTTACATGGTTTAGCCTTAGGACAGGTTCAGACTTGATGCAGAGGTAAACTCCATCCTAAAACTGACTTCACATAAGCACTGGCAGTGAAATTTGCATTCAACATTCCATTCAACACTAGCGAATTCACACCACTGGCCTTTAAACTCAAGATAACTTTCAACTACTTCAGCGCCATTTAAAATCTACATAGGAGATCTGGTGATAGCATGTCCTCTGAGTACTTATCTGCATTGCATTGGGAATCCTGGATGTTAGATCTACAGGTGCGGTAGACATATCTAGGGCACGGGACTGCAATTGTTGATGGAATTAATGACCACCTGAAGCTTTATAAATGAGGTCTGCGCTTTAACCTGTCCTTGAATTATATTAATGAGTGTGGGATGCAACAGAAACTTTGCCTAAATGCTTAAAATGTGATTTTTCAGACAGTCAAGAACACAACATTCTCGTCCCATGGTATGCTACATGTAGGGTAGGGTTACACAGTTTCAAATGGCTACTTGCCTGGATAGAATCAATTCTTGGATAGTGTATGGCTTCTTTGACTGTCGCGGCTGCATGTATGCGTGCCTTTGATGAGGTATCGCAAATGAGATGTAGCTGAAAAGTCAAGTTGCTAAAACCCTGTCAAAACCTTAGATGGATAATCATTTGAGGGCATGTGAAAATTCTGTATCTGTGTTGTCCCCCCTGTAGCTGTCTTGGCACCCAGAGAGAGATAATTGTCTGGCATACGGAACTGATGATGGCCGCGTAGGCATCTACAGTACCTTCACGCAGGGGTAGGCCAGTAGCACTTGTTAACTTTTTTTTCACAGTTGGTTTTGACTGCACTACGTAAATTATGCCTGATGGCTGTTTCATGGACACTCACTCAGTACTTCATGCCACTGTGATGAACCAACATTTCTTTCTTCAAGGCAATGGCATTATGGTTCCTATAACCCCAATCCTCTGTGATTATGCTGATATATGCCACGATATGCAGAATTTCAGTCCTCTCATACTGTGCCAATCTGTGCAAAACAAAGTTTTGTTCTGAAGTTGTTTGCAGTCAGCAGACTTGACATTGTTATCCCTTCTTTTGCTTTGAGCAGACTGCTTTAGTTTAGAAATGGGAAATGGAAGACACCTGTAGGAAATAGGTCTTGTCAAGCATGGCACCCCTTTTAAATGCAGTGTAATCAAGAATCTTTTGTGTTGTCACTTACCCCCACTTTTTGTTTGAATTCCAGTAAAGGGCCTGCTCTGTCAAGCACGTTCCACAAGAAGACAGTTTACTCCCTGAGCTGGGGTCCACACTGTCTAGCCAAAGGTATACAAGATCTGTTTAGTGTAACTTTTGAATGCTTATATCATCATCGGTAGTAAACACGCTGATAAAAATAAATTGATCAGTTTGGTATATTATGCATATAAATTCAAATATGGTTAGACAGTTTACCTCTTCTAATGTTCATTCTATACTAAATGTAGTTACTGGCATACAAGTTTGTGTCATATTTGAGTGTCATATTTGTGGAATGACTTTACAAAGCAGTCCTGTTTATGTCTGGATACTCGTTTTTATTCCAGAGGGAGTATCCGGCTATTGCCTGTACAGCTGTGGTGGTGATGGCATGATATATCAACATGACCCAACCAAACTCGGGGAGGATGCCACAAACTTCAACAGCCTCATTCGCTCAGCCAATCAAATTTCGGTATGTCATTGCTTCATTATTTGAACAGTACATATACAATTCATGAACAGCATATATATACACACAATGTAGGCCTTGTTCAGGTTGGTACTTTTGTCAGAAGAAAAATTAATGCTATTTATAACAATGTCCCAGATGAAAAGTCCCTGAAATACTTTCAGTTTTAGACTAAAAGAAGTACTACAAGGAATATTTCTTGTTCATCGTTAGATCTGTTTCTTTGTGGGTTTTAACAGAACTTTCATCATAATGGGTTTGAATTATTTTTTCCATTTCTTGGTGTAGTACATGCTTCCCTTACGTACTGACGTGTCTTGGAGAGATGATGGAAGAGCAGTTGCCATAGGAAATGAGGATGGGTGCGTATTATACACAAGTACACTTTATAACCTCATTTGACAATTCTATTGCATGTTGGTCTGTTTATTGCTGAGAGATAAAAAGGCCACAACAGATAGGGCATTGCTGAGCGCGGTTTTGATTCTTTTGATTTTTGATTTTTGATTTTTTTGAAACATGCTAGAACAGCTTCAAGTTTGATGGTCCTCTACATAGTTACTGCTTGAGATTATGCCACTAACTGAATGCCATGTAGACAATGTTGATAGTCTTATTAAATAATGACCTGGACGAATGATAAAGAAAAATATGTATCATTGTTCATAGTTTCCAAAGAAGATGTGTGGAACATTTAGCAGCCAAGGTGTTTTAAGGGTTTAGACTCACAATCCTTCATCTGTCAAAGGATTGAGAATTGTTCAGGTTAAGATACTGTAGTATTGTGCTTGAGCTGTTTGGGCTTTGTTAGGTTTTTATTTTTCGTCTTTTTTTTGGCACATCATCAAATTAGGCTAAGAGACAAACAGGATATGAATATGTGTATCTCTGCGTCCATATTTCAGGTCTATTGAGATCGTGGCCTGCCCAAGTCTGTTGCTGCTGTGCACCATCCGAGTCCACCACAAGCTCATCAACTGCCTGGAGTGGTACCCAACCCACAGCCAGTCAGAAGCCAGCGTACAGGTTCCTAGCCAATCCGCAGGCATATTGGAAGATGGTTCGAGTGGCACTGGCCAATCAGGGAAGAGGTGGTGGCTGGCTTCTGGCTCCAATGAGCCACAAGTCCAGGTTCATGATCTGACATCTGTGCTAGGTAAAGGCGGAAAACAACAGGCCATGTCTGAAATGGGCACCTAGAGCTATGGCTATTTGTACTGTCAGCATGTTGCCCACCTGTTTGCATAGTGAGGAAACCTACATGTAGACCTGTCCCGTAGAAACAAGATTTGGATTTGGCCAGGCACTACCCAATATTTTAGAAAAAGCCTTTCGTCTGCATTGAGACTTGTTGAGGGTTGTTTGAGGTTAGTGACAGTTAGTGACATTCCGTCAGTTTTTATGCTGATGATTTTGTCCTGAGATTAGGAGTCACTGGAATACGCTGTGTTTTTGAAGAAATTCCTGTATCATTGATGTACACAGCAAATGGCTTACATAAATTCATTCCAACATGGGTGGAACACATTGACCAGTCACAGTGCTTGAATCTGTCGACCGAGTGCGTGTTTGGAAAGGGTCGAGAGATTTCGGGCGTTGTGATTGGCCAACGTGTTGCAAACTCTTGCAGGCGCACTGTTATGAATTGCACATATGAACTTAATTTTGATTTGGAAAATAACAGCATGGTCATTTTCTTGGCTTTGCTGTTTTAGGAGGAATTGAACCAGTCCAACTGAAAACGCCTGTGACTGGATCATTCCGCACTCTGAATGGCCATACCCTAAGAATCACAGCATTATCATGGAGTCCACATGGTGATGGGCGCCTTGTGTCTGCTTCTTACGATGGTACAGCTCAGGTCAGTGCGTGCATGGAGTGCTGAAGTGTGACGTCATTTTGAACCAGGAAGTATAGTGCAAACGAATGGAGTACCTGTGCATGTTGGTTCTTGTCCTAATGCCCTTTATACACATTATTGTACCTGCAGTGTATTCACTTCAGTACTCTATAACAAGGAGACAAAGCATAAATGACCTCACATTTCACCATGAATTAAAGAGACTTGGTATTTCTACACCATAGGGAAGATTGCACGAAAGATTTCGTGTAGAAATGTCAACATGGATGCACAATTCCAAGTTGTTTTCTCTTAATATGTACATGCAGTTGCCAGGTTTATTTCATTTCTGAAAATAACCTGACCTCACTGCAGCAATTAATAATGAACCTCAACTTTGTGGCATCACTATAAAGGCATTCGGATCATTTGAATGGATGTTTACTGTAGAAAAAGTTTATTGTTCTGCTTTGCTCTGAATAACACAGAAGTGTAATTTCGGCTTCAGATAAGGTTATCGCAAGCTAGTTCATATATCAACTTTCCCTGAGTGAGTGCTCGTAACACAAACATTTTGAAACATGTAATAAATTGATTCTCTTTGCAAAACTATGCAACTTTTCAGCGGAATCCGCCTTTCATATTTTTTCTTATTTAATCTCCCAATAAGGTGTGGGACACACTGAAAGGAGAGCCTATTGCCAATTTCCGCGGCCATCTTGGCCGTCTTTTCTCAGTCTCCTGGAGTATCCTAGATCCCGATGTCATCTTCTCGGGTGGTGAGGACTTTTGTCTGTTGAAATGGAGAGTGTCCCAAGTACAGCATACCAGACCACCTGCCCGTAAGTGCTCCATTTTTTTTATGACGAGTGTTTCTTTCTTGCCAATGATGAATGTTTACAATTGGATTCATCATCAGTTCTGAATGAGCTGTTTTGTCTTTTGGGCATTGTTTAAATCTTTCAAAATTATGTATGTTGATTGTATGCCTTAAAAATTTCTAAAAAAAATCAACTACTTTTCCAGACAGCATTTGACCTCACAAAGTATCTCAAACACACATTAGAAGCACTCTGGCCAGATGTGTCTCAGGTACACACAACTCATGTTAACTTCAGAAGAAATCTACCAACGATGAATGGTTGTCTGAGAGGTACCTACATTTTCTTTCTGGTTTTTTGGGTGGGGATAGTAATTATGGTTTTGAATGTTATTTTTACAGACAAAAGAAACACAGCAGCATTTATGCAACGCAGTGGGAAGAGTAAATCAGCTTCATCTGGTAAGAGCAAAAAGAAAGCAAAATCAGCCAAAGACACGTGCAGCGTGGGCAGCTCATCTCCGGGTTCCTGCACCCCAGAACCAACATCAACTAAGGATGCTCCACCCATCCCCGAGGGACTTCCCCCTGATGGATCCCTTCTGGACCCACCAGTTGATATGTCAGATCTGCAGCGACTTCTCGAGGAAAAGAGACTTGAGATGCAGAAACTGACTTTGACCGAGGCCTCAGAAGCAGAGGCAAGGCGTCAGCAGACTGAGAATGTGATGAGCAGTGAGCCTACATTTGTTGAAGAGAAAGAAGTTACAGAGCTGAAAACAGGAGAGGTTGATGAAGCTGGAGAAAAAGGAAGGGGAGGAGATACAGAAGTGGGTGTGGAATCTGTAGCCCAGACCACAGAGGGCTCAGATGTCACATATAAGAAAGGTAAATTCAATGCAATGTTATTGATAAGGTTTAATGCTGTCAAGCTCAGGTACACAAAGGCAGTTTCATTTCAGCTGTCTGTTTTAGAGAGAGAGAGGAAACATCAATCCTTTTAACGCCAAACCCAAGGAGATTCTGTGAGACTCTACATTTCAATGTATTGGGTCAATCTGAAAGTATCCTCACAAACAGGTACCTTTTTTCTTTTTAAAACAGTATGTATCATCAGTTCAGAGTTTTGTTGGAATATGCTTGCTTGAAGATGACATTTGACCATTCAAATGGTGTTTTACATAATATGCAGATGGTCGTCGGAAGAAGAAACACAAATCCCTCTTTCCTCTGAGTCGGAGTCAGGACAACAGAGGCAAGCTGTATCATCTAGAGGACTGTGTTACACTGGCACACCATAAATACGGTAAGAACTAACAGCTATAAGAAAGAAAAATTTGTCCTTATTACCATAATGTGCTAAATTTTTACTCATTTGGGTACACGTAATACTACACAGCCATGTCTATTCTGTTTCTTATTTCATTAGCATTTCATTTCATGTGAATAGACCTTAATGATAATGGCATCCTTTTTTTTACATGTGCGTTTTCTTGTCGGGGCCTGATGAATGGTGTTCCACGTCACAGCCACATAAAAGGCACATGGAAATAAAGCGTGGCATTAAATAGGTCTGTTGGAATTTTAATTTTGCTGTAGGTACAGATGATGCAGGGAGACCGTTTACTACAGCCCATCCAGCAGTGGGAGAACAGGTACACTCAACAGATCCCAGCGAGGCTGTATCATCTGCTAGACTCCATCCGGGTGTGGGAGATGCCGTCCATCTTGGCCTGTTTGCTGATAGGAGGGCAGCATTTGCAATGTTCAGAGAGGAAGGTTGGTACTTCAGAGAGGCTTGCTCTGACCTGTGAACCCTGTTCTCAGAACTAAGCTGCCTGCCGCTTTTGTTTTTGTTTTCACAAATTGTTCCATTGCGCTTTTGAACATAATCTGGGAAAAGCAAAGTCAACAGGCATGCTTAATTTGTGATTTCCCTTAAATAACTGTGATGATTGTACAAAAATGCCAGAGTTAGATTAAGTACCACTTCAACTGTGATTTAGTTTCACTTTGGTAAGTTGTCGATAGCAAACCCACAGACCGATTAAAGTGTACCCATCTGTACTGATTACTTTTACCTTTTCCAAATTTCTTTTCAAGGTATTTACCACAGTGAAGCTGGTAACCGAGACCAAAGACAGTGTCTGGACATGTGGAAGGGGAATTTAGCTGGCACCCTAGCTCATGCAAGAGAATGCAATCAGCTCAACAGTTTTCTTGTTGCCATGGCACCGTTAGGTAAAAGAAAAACCAAAACATGGCATTAGTTTGAAATAAAGCGATGAGGAAAAGGATTGGCACTGATTGGACTGACTGTCTACACACATACCCATAGCAAACCTATTACAGTTCAGAACAACCCATCTGTAAATTGCAAAACAACAACGTGTTTGTGGTTATGTTGTTGTTTTTGTCATTTTTTCAAGGAAGTCTAGTTAACTCATTTTGCACGAGCACACATTCCTGGAAAGCTTGTCTTGTTGATGACCACTCAGAGTTAGATTGACTTGTACCTTCATACAGCATACCAAAACACTTGACGTCAAACTGAATGTTGACCACGGTTATTAAATGCTTTGCCTGTTACATACATACTATTGTCCTTTTGATGTACATGTTCAAGGTGGTTATGATGTTTGGCTGGAGACAGTTGAGGCCTATGCCCAGCAACTGGAGAGATGTGAGGACTACAGTCAGGCTGCTACCTACTACCTCGCCTGCCACAAGATACATAAAGCTATAGCAGTGCTGCTAGATAACAAACTCTTCAGGTAGGCACAGAGCTATCCCTAGAGAGAGTTGCAGTAAGAGCGTCTCAATTGTTGACGCCGAAATGGTAGTTTAAGCATCAGAGCACATGAAGAATTAACACACAATAGCTGCTTGCTGCACTGCGCACATAATGAACAGCCAGTTTGGTTCAGGTCTGAAGTTGACGTTACTCTACATATGTACAGCTCTGTGTGGGCATTAACCCTGTCTCTCCTGGGCTCCTGAGCTGTGTAGAGTCCTCTTGCATCCTCCAAAACCGTTCCTTTGCAGGAAACCAGTGATGCATTCTGTGTTCACACATTTTCAAGGAACATCAAGCCTTGTGATAAGGAAACAGTGACTGAGGTCTACCTTCCTCAATCCTGCACTTGGATTGCACTTGGCACTTTATAGACAGTTAAGATCAAGGCAATGTACGGATCAAGCAGGGCTGTCAATAATTGGTCTCTCTTTGGTTAAATGAATGATTGGAGTGCTACATCATCACATGTATATTTCAATTGCCACAGAAATCTAGGGCCTAGAAATAACTCCAACAATGTCAGATTATGACTGCTAAAACCTATACTGCTGATAATCATCTGGGCCAGATTTGGCCATCAAAGTTCAATAATGAGTTTATAGCACAAGTCGGCCAGCCAAGGACAGGCTGTCTATAGGAAGGCAAATAAGCACTCACAAACCACAACACTTAATCATGTTTTATAACAGTGTCTAAAGCTTTGAATTTGAAATCGTGAGTCTGTTGGATGTCATAATGATTTTTACAGAGAAGCTGTGGCATTAGCGTCTGTGAGGCTTTCCCCATTTGATCCTGCTTTCACTGAGGTATACAGAGCCTGGGCAAGTCACCTGGATGCTGAGGGCAGCTACGGCCAAGCTGCAAAGTGGTAAGAGCCAGGCCAACATCAGAATATAGAGAACTGACGCTGAGCAGTGCAATCATAGTTATAAACCTGCATCAGTGTACACTGACCGATATGCTAACATGAAGAGACCAAGGAAAACCACAGTGATAGACTTGTCAACGAACATTTTGACTTACAGCAGTGTTAGACACTTGTTGCCTGCAATACTTAGTCATTTTCAGCATTGGTATCTATCAAGTTTTTGTCTTGAGAATAAAATCCCTTCTACGTAGCGCAGCACATTACATTGTTTGACTTTTGATTGTCTTTATGTCCATCTGTTTCCCTTTGAAGTTACCTGACAATCAACCAACCTACTGATGCAGTGATGTTGCTCGCCAGAAAGAGTGACATCCTGTCTCTCTCTGCCGCTTTGCGTGTGGCTTGTATCACTCACCTAGGTGACCTGACTATCGGTTTGATGGTCAGATACTTGCATGAGTGTCTCATGGCTGGTGATTGGCTAGAAGCACAAACGGTGTTAGCCAATCATAAAAGTGTTTTAGTAAGTGACCTATTTCTTTGCATTTAAGGTTCTGTATATTTAAGTATGCTCAGTTTATGTTAACCAAATAGGTTTGAGTTTGTGTAACAGTTGGATTTGGTAGAGTTGGAATGAGAAGAATTTGACCGTGATCCATGATTTTATAGATTACTGTCATTGTTAAAAAGTCTTAGTGGCATAAAGTACCTAAGTGTGATGTCATGTTGAACCAGGAAGTATAGTGCAAACGAATGGAGGAATGTACTCATGTTGGTTGACATGCTGGTTCTCTCACTAATGCCTTTTACACACATAATCATGCACATGACGTTTTCACTTTGGTACTCCGTACTCTGATGTTTGGGCTGGTCAGGCTTGTCATGTCTTTGAACATGTTAGTAAACGTCACATATGAATTTTCTTGAGAGGTGGGTTTGCAATTGATCAACCATAAATTCCTTTCGTCGGTCTTGTGTACACAATAATACCTGTTAATGAGGTTATCTCAAGCTGTAGCTATTTTGTACTGCTCTTCCCAGGCAGGGAGCTTAATTGCGGCTCTGCACGAAGTCATCGTCACAACACTAACACATCAAAAGCTCATACTACGGGATCTGTTTGAGGAACCAAAGACCAATCCCTGGATTCAGGGGATGTTCCGAGATGAGACAAACAGTGAGTAAAGGCTCAACAGTTCAAGAGCATGGAGAGTGGATAACACGTGGCAAACGCGAATGGTGCTTTTAAAGAAGGTCAGAAGATTAGAAAAAAGATTGTAGGATTTTTAAGTTTCTTGGCATATGTGCTTAATTTGATTTTAGACATGGATGACTTGTCGGGATGGACTGTTCCTCTTTTTGAAGGAGCTACACCCCTTCCTGCTGCTGTGCAGCATTGGTTCCTACAATGCCACATGGACCAAACAGATGAAGACCTTGTCCAACGTCTATATGATGAAGTTGTCAGCATCCGACAACAGAATACTCAACATTTGCCAACAAAGCAGGTATCAAAAAACTCTAAACATCATTACTGTGAGAAAGAAAAGGGGGCCGGACATTGTAACTGTCATTATGTGCAGTGAGTAACCGTGTATGTTTTAGCTGTCAACTGAGTTTGAAACTAGCCCACAGGCAGCTATATTTTAAAAAATCGTTTTAGCACATCTTGGCTGTTTAGTGACGTATGCATTATCACATCAAAATAGCTTTTTGCATGTATGAAGATTTATTGTGATACACATGTAATACCTGTTCCGTTTTCATAACTGATAAAGTGATAAGTAGGCAAATATGGGCCATTCATAATAGTGCGCCTCCAAGAGTTTGCAATGCGTTTTCCAATCACAATACCCGAAATCTGTCAACTGTTTCTAACGCATATTGGGTTGACAGATTTCGTGCATTATGATTGGCCAGTGCATTGCAAAGTCTTGGAGGCACACTATCGTGAAACCCAGCATTCCCTTTGAACAGTTACTACCGGTATTTAAAACTACTGTGAATTTCATACGCAGCTTCTTATCGAGTTGGCATTTGAGCTTACCCTGGGTCAGCTGTCACTCTTGATGGCAGGGGAGTCTGAGACGGTCCCTCATTGGTTGCAGGCCGTGGTCATGTGTCATGATGCAGGGGATGTGGACATGGCTAGAGGAGTGCTATCTCTTGTTCTACCTGAAGGTAAAGATCGGGCCTTTGCTTGTCCCAACTGCCCGTTAGTGTTGGGATACACCAATCTTTTTTGACAAAACTTTTTGTGAAGGAAGTGCGGTAGTTACTTGCTGCCCTGTATCTATGCATGTACATTAAACATGCCTTGCAGATATGAGAGTGTTGACCCTTGTTATTATTTAGATGAAGTCCTTCCAGTGAGGCTACAAGGAACTACATCCTGCAGCCTGGAGAAATTAACCCATCTCCGCTGTAAGGGCTGTGGAGACAAGCAAACGTCAGGCCCATTTACTATTCTTCCCTCTGGCATTTGAAACCTTAAACATTACTTCTATTTAGACTTAAAAATAACTGTTTTCTCACAAGACTTCTGTATCTTATTGGACAAGCCATGAGAGCAATTCACCAAGGTATTTTTGGGTAGCTTTACTGTAGATAATTACATATTGATTGTATAATAAGAAAGGAAAATAAAATGGATGTTAACCTTATTCTGAAGTTTTCCCTGTTGGGTACCTTTGTGATTGCATAGGCATTTATTCCATCATGAAACTACACAAGAGTGCCGCTGTCACGAGTCTGTATGCATACTACCTCTTCACTGTTCTGTACTCCCTGTGGTGGGAGGTTGGCTGTGAGACAACACCCTCCAAGAATCCTGAACTGCTGGTGAGTAAAGCTGGTGTGCCACGAGATACTCAAAGAGGAATAGAGACAAACAGCGACACTGCCAACATAATTGCAAGAAGAACAGAAGCAACAGAATCACACTTGGAGGGTACAAGTGGCACAGTGTCACGAGTGATGGCGACTGAAAGAGCTTCAGAATTGGTGGAAAATCCTGGCCAACCTATTGCAGACTTCACTGGGAGTGTCAGTGAGACGCAAGCACAAATCACATTTGACCAGCATGATCTTTTTACGACATTGACTGATTGTACAAACCAAAGTGTGGAGTCATATGCAGCCAGTGCCAGCATTGTCACTGCTCCTTCATGTTCCAACATGTCAAAAGATGTCAACCAAGGGCATGATGCGACTCGCAGCCAGTTCGAAGAAAGGCTGGTTCCAAAACTAGAGACTATCTCCAAGGCTTTGTTGTCGGAGCCTCACGCAAAAGTGAGAAGCCTGAAGGGCAGCATAAGATGCATCCAGAAGGCGGTGGAGAAATTGGTGACCCAGCATGCCACAAAAGGGCAGGAACCGGTCCCTGTTGACCATGACCAGGAGGGCTCTATTGACAAAGATAGGGCTCCTGACAGACCAGACCATGAGGCTGTTGATTGTGGCTTTTATGCCTCCAGAGAGAATGAATCAGCCGTCCCAACTGTCAAAGATGGTGGTGCTTTTGAGCTGAAGGAACGTGCCACATCTCCAGATGTGTGTGCTTTAAGCCAAATTGTTTCTGAGAGCACTGGCAGATTAGTAAACTCATGCTTACCAGAGTCTCTAAACCCCCTTGAGGTCAGTACCAACATTGTATCATCTCGCCAGGACGACGGGACACCAGTTGAAGTGGATATAGCCACTGAAAAACAGTTTGATTCAAACTCTAACGCTGCTGCTAAAGAAACTCATTCAGAGGTAGACAAATATTTGGAAGTCTGTCTACCTAGTAGCTGGGAGGCAGTGATGGCAGATGTCAAGTATATTGATCCAGCATTGACGTATACTGACTTGCTCCAAGAGCAAAGCAGGCTCATGCAGGAATTGGAACAACTTGGCAAAAGGGTAATTGTGTGATTCAATAACTATTTTATTGGTAGGCAGGACTGATTGGATGGATGATAAACATTTTTATGACACAGATGTGCAGTACATTTGCAATTGCTTGCTTCAACTGATCAAGTGCCTGTGTTTGCCCACTTCATTGGGTGCACTGTAGAGAGGTTAACAAATGCCACACTTCTGTGAGTTTTCTAATCTAATTCTCCTTTTCCTTGATGAATATGCATAGCAGTGTCCATTCCCAGACTCAGTCGAGTCTGCCATGGTGCTGGTACATGTCTGCCGTGCCGCACGCCTCAAGAGGAATCTCTCAAAAGCAGATCAGCAGGAGCTGAAGACACTTGAGAAGGAAGCCATCACATGGGGACTGGAGCACAGTTGGCTGACCTTCCAAAGGAAACTGTTCATTAAGCATCTTGCAAATTTAGTTTTAGAACAACCCAACAGTGCTTTGTAAGGAGCCGGAAGTATAGATCTTTATCGTGATGCCGCCATTTTTGTGTTGCTCCTGAATGCCAAATGACAAAAGTAGTACATCTTTACATACCTATAAAAGGAACCAAATAAGTTTTTCTTCCAGCTTCAGTTTGGTCACAATACTTTCAATAGTAGAAAAACAAGATGGCTGCTCCCTGATAAAGTTCTACAAGGCTAGTTGCCGTATCGATAACACATATGCAGAGTGTATGCAAGTATAGTGCTTGTCTTGCGTTGAATTGTGCGAATAACTCTGTCATGGATACGTTTTAGTTTTCCATTTAATCAGTCTACTGCCAACTCATTTAGGCTTATGCAGTATATGCACAGATGATCGGGGAAGTTGAGCCCAATTGAGTATTATTAGGTTGTTGGAAGCATTTCCAAGTGAAAATGTTTTCTTTACTGTTTAGGCTTCATCCGTGACTTATTTGTGATGTGAAACCGAGGCTTTAAGGGACCATAACCTACTGTAATGCTGTAGCTCAAACACTTAGTATCGGTTATTAATGTGTGGGGGGGACTGGGAGCTTGATTGCAGTTCAAACCCTTCCGAGGACAAAATCTGCTCACAGAATCATGTCAAAGTACAAAGAAATATGTCTCTCAGTTACATAGCAGACTTACTTAGTGCAGGCTTAAATCGCAAATTTTTATGGAAACTGCTTTTGCGCATTGACCAAAAGGAAGGTAAACTTCATTTGGAAACACTGCACAAATCACAGTGACAAGAATATGACACTTCTTGGGCACTGGTATTTTTCAAGCAGGAACACATTCAAGAACTGCACAGGACACAAAGTAATATCATCCAGAATGTAGCATAAGGCTTCTTTATAAATGAACAACAGTGAATATGGCTTTCATACAAAATAGTATACCTTAAAACGGGGCCTGTTCTCTTTGGTTTCCATCAAACTCATTCTCCATTTCTAATTGTTTCAAAAGCGAATTTAATGTTTGGGCCTCAAGAAGAAAATTTACACCAGCACTGGGAAATAAACCCAGGGTTCAAAGAAGGCTTACGTGCCAACTTTTTAAAAATCATCGCATAAGGTCTTACTGATGTGGACCACAAGTCCCCCAAATGATTAACCCTAACAGTCCTCAATCCTTCACCTGTTGGAGGAACTGAGGACTGTTAGGGTTAACCTCTTCCCCCCATTACTTCTTTCTGAAGTTTAAGGCTCGTTATGAAGCAAATCATAAGGTAATGTATTTATTTTTGAACTCCATTTTTTATTTTAACTTTGGAAGTTGCTCTACTAGATCATCCAGAACACTTCAACAATGACACATGAATGATCGCTGTATTGGAGAGCAAAAATTAGAGTAAATATTGGTTGAGCCTTTTGTAATTGTTTCTAGGGTAAATTCAGATCACACACTTCTGGCTGCCTGAAAGGATATGAGCACAGTGTGCCAATATGACAAAAAAGGTGTTAACAAAAGCTGTGAAATACTTAATACTTTCTAGAAGGCTAGGCTTGATATAAAAATTATACAAAATGTTTCTGGAAACTTCACATCTGATATGTTTTTGAAAGAAAAACCAGTAAGTAAAAGTTATTCTTCAGAATAGAAAAATCAAGGTTACAGAAGTACAGAGACAAGTCAGACCCTTTATTAAAATTTAATGCTGGTTAATTTTGCATTAGTAACACATTAGTAGCATTTTTTCTGATAATGACCTGCACTATCCACACATATTCACATGTGCAGGAAGGTTTTACAGAGTTTTGAGTTCATGTTCTTTCACAGCTGAAGTTTAATTGCATTCTGAGTAACTTTGAGGCTTGATTTTCTGTTGCATAAAAACAAACACTTTCGGTGGATACTCTCAGGAAAGGGTGTCGGGAGAAAGCAGTGAGTTGTCCACATTTATTGAGAAATCACCGTTGATTTTTTATACACATAGTTTTTTCCTGTTTCGTCTACTTTCTAATGGTTTTTTCATCCCCCTTTTGAATGTTACAATTTCACATTCAGTTTGCCTCTCCCTGTTGCAACTTTGCTTTTTTTTAGCTGTTCATTATTCATTCACATGTCATTGGAAATAAAACATGCTTTGCGCCAGCTTGGGTATAGTGTTTTCTTCAAGTAACATTTTTTGCTTGTACATGTCAGTTACGTCTCACTCTCTTGAGCCATGTTGGAGGTTTTAAGACTGTTCAGAGTACAAGGGGAAAGGAAAACCACATATGTACATCGGTGAGATAAAAATAAAGCTTTTTATTGTTTATAACACTGGATAAACAAAGTCAACATTTGTTGGCATTAAAATCAATACTTGCTGACCCTGGCTCGGTAGTGGGTGATGTGTCAAGTTTTCTCAACCAAAATTTCATGGGCATTTTGGAGAAAGCAGACCTCCCCCAGGGAATTTGATGCCCACAAACCACTTCACAGGAAAATTTCCACACATCCATACTGCATACGAGCACTTGCTCATCAACGGCCACTACACGAGTCAGGGCACTGCTAGGATTGTCTCAGATTCAGCACACTCGGCGAAGGGTCAGTCCAACATTGTAACAACTCCAATTTACAATCTTGGAGTTAAATCCTGGTGGTACAGAGTACCTAAGTGAATGCGTCAGTGCAAGGTATCAGTGCAAGAACCAGCATGCAAACCAACACGCGTACTCCATTCGTGTGCACTGCAATTCCTGGTTTAAAATGACATCACGCTTCGGAACTCTGTAAGAGCAGCAGGGTTACATCAACTACGCGCAGCCTGGGTAAGAATTAGTTTGAGAAAGAGAAGATATTGGAGCACTGAAAACCATTTCCAGTAATTTCAGGTTCACTTCTTACGTCAATCAAGTTTCTGTTCACTCAACTTAATCACACTGATAACCCAATTATCATCGACTACATACATATGAATCGGTTGGTACCCTGTTCTCATCCAATCGCTTACCCCCACAACATCGACTACAGAAGTCAGTACAATCTTTACCTGTTGCTTATGGACAGAAGCTTGGAGATCTCTCCAGGAATTGATGTCATAAGTACTGGTCAACGAACTACAGACGGACAACAACAAAAAAAAAGGGGAAAAAAATTAAATTTCAAGGTAGACTTAAAACCAAACAATACTTGTTCTTTTCTTACATGGTATTTTGTCAACAAATGGAATAATTTGCACCTTCAGTGCTCTCAGTTAGCACCCACAGAGAAATTCCGAGTACCAACCGATTCTGTTCTGGAGTTTCAAATTTTGATTATCTGATAAACATACTGACCTCTCCCCCTGAATAACCATCCGAGGACAGTCCTCAGTAGTCTCTTGTTTTACTACTTACTACATTTTGCCCTTACCCATGAAATAGAAACTAACTCGGCAAAATATACATAACCTAAATGAAAATCACAACTACTGTACACGAATATCTTCGTCTGTCCCTAACGGATGGATTTTCTATGAATTAAAGCACTCTCAGGACTATACACTTTCAGATGTCAACATCGTTACGCCTCAGCATGTCTAACAAATAACTCCTCATGACTCAACTCTATATGCATGTAAATGCGGCTTTAAGTGAAATGTGTTTTGTGCGAATAGATGAGCCCCATAAGGAGAAAGTTCTGGCCAAGCGACCATATAGACAGCCAAGTTGCCGTGATCAGGGATCAAAGTTTGGACCTCCTCCGGAGTAGTTGCCTGTAATCTCTGCCCCACTGAAGTCAAAGCCTGGGTTCTGTTATTAGTAAAAATGGTATTTTTACATTAAACGCGCGATTTTTTTTTTTTTTCAGCTTTAACACCTGAATTTTCTCCAAAGTGCTGACCACACCTTTTTTTATTCAGATGTTAAAATGTCGTATCTTTGGCTCATTTGCCATTAAAAATAACTGCATCATCACGAACGATAGATTTTGGACATGAAATAAAAAAAATTGTGTGCTGGCCAAATGTTTAAAAAGTGCATTCACCAAAGCTTTGGTCATCGGTTCTTTTTAATTTTCTTTTTTTTAAACAATTTTTACTTGAAGGGCTGAGGAGAAGAGAGATGGGTTGGGAAGGCGCAGGGGGGAATTTGATGACATCTTAGTCCAACCATACCTCATGCTGAAATCTTTGCAAGGTGAGTTTCTTTTCCATCTTGTCGTAGGTGAAAGGGTCAGCCACGTACTGGTCCTTCAACAAGCTCCGCCAACAGTTCTCCGCTGACTGCTTGGACTTGGTGAGGACAATCTGGACCAGTTTGTTGTCTTCTTAACATTTAGAAAAAAAAGTTCAAAACAAGAGTTGTATGTATTTAGTGAAAGAATTTGGCCTGTACGTTTCATTACCACAGCAACTACAAATTTACATGCACTTCCTTAATCTTTATTATTGGTCTTCTTAACGGGTTCTGGCCCCTGTAGTTCTAAAAAGAGTTTTATTCTGAAGGGGAATCCCATTCCATTTACAATGACCAAGTTTCCTGTTCCTTTGAGATTAAAGCTTATGTTTTTAGGCTTACCAAGTGTCCAGGTGCATTCATCAGATATTACTGCTTCATAAAGTTCACCCTGAAGGGGAAGGAATTGAAAATAAGATCACAACAATGTTATCAGTTTCAGCACAACGTTGTCATCTTTGAAGTCAACCACACTCACAATGGTACTGCCCATTAGAAACAGAGGGCTCCTTCAAAGAGCTTTCTAATTGGGCTAAAGTTACCGGTAGAAAGTTCAGAGGTTATACTTAATATTAGGAAAGAGTATATCTCACAATCAGAGAAAATCAGGGGTTTTGGGGAGGGGGGAGTTCTCGTGAAGGCAAACCATCGCACCAAATACCTTTCACTCTGACAAGGTTGAGTAAAAATTCTCAGAAACCTTTACTAAAACACTGAGCACTAAAGACATGTACATAACACACCTTAAAGACATTTTTGCCCTTAACCGTGCAGCTCAGGTGCTTGGGGTCAAAGTTCACCGTCACCATCTTGCCCTTTGTTCCCTCTTGCACATTCACCTCTACAAACACCTCCTCCATGGTCTGATACCACTGACCCCAGGGGGTCTGGCAAGGGACAATTCCACTCTTCTCATCAAAATGTGCCATGGTAATGCACCATTTTCAGAAGTCTGGGGAAAATGCTCTGTTCAAGTGGTGCTGCCCTCTACCAGGCTCTAGCTGAAAACAGGAAAGCACTGCAGACTTTCTTTGAATATCTACATGTAAAACTGAAAAAGATATATTGTTAATATACAGTGTTGTCTGATTTCAAGCAATCCTATTTGGCCTAATTTTAGGCCATTAGGCTCTACTTATGCTGTGCTGATTCTTAGTGTCTGATGGTTTGAAATTTCTGAAAAAAGAAAAATTTGTTCTCTTAGGCCTACAAGTAAATGCTTCCGTTTTTTCTATGCTAAATTTCACTTTTTCAGACATTATCACTTTCTGATGCCTGTACAACATTTTAATGGAAAATTAGTGTTTTTTGCATATGGTACTCTTTCTGAAGCGTGCTCCCAAAGTGGCCACCCTGCCCTCTTTGGAAATACTGAAATGTAGTGTGTACACAACTCAAATGCCCCAGTAAATTTGATTTCAGTGGCTCCCACTGACTAGGCCTACGCTGTTTCAATAATGCGCTATCTAGTGTATTCAAGATCCTCAGCTCAACCTAACCTCTTGCTTACTGCCACTGGCAGAGCAAAGAAATCATGATGCACCTTAAATCTAAGTTCATCAGAATCACCTACATGGCATCAACAAGTCACGAAAAAATTGAAATTTTAACAATCAACAAACTGCTTCAGCTTGTTCGAAATTACGAATGTACACTTCCCAAGTTCCACGGTACAAAGTGCACGCACGTACATGTACATACTATGTGCATACATGTACAGTTCTAGTTGTACACTGTACATCTCAAATACGTACGCATACGCATTCAGCGAGCGAGAGCGCGCTTGGCAATATCGCGGGCAAATTGCAATGCGCCCTCAAGTGTCCAAACTCTTTTTTTTTCAGCGTATTTCTGTATAAAGCTGATTGGTTAACAAAATGACCTATTGTGGCCAAAAATTTAATAGTAAACATTTTTAAAGATTTATTTTGCTTTGAACGAAATAACAAATTTAAGATCTGACAATTTTTTAGATCGTTTTGGATTATGTTTTATTATAACTAAATCTTCTCTAATATTTATACTCAATCAAATGATTAATTAAATATCCAATCAGGTCACATGTACCATTGAGCACTACACATGTTACAGTGCTTTATATGAGTGGCTTTCGCTAGCGCTCTAGCTGTCTAAAGGACTGCTGCCTGGAAGTTACTTTGTGGCGTGGAAGGTGAAGTTCGCACAAAATAAACCACAAAGATGTCAGAACAAGTACCAAAACAGTCAACGGTATGGATTAATAATTATGTAAATTTTATGCTGTTAATTGAGTGTTTCTCTTCTTTATTTTACTCGCGTGCACGACACGAAAACACATGGCAAAACATGAATGACAGGCCTACGTGACTGATGGAGCTTGAGATGTGACGAGTCACGACGTCTTCAGTAGAATGCTGAATTATTGCCAATACTGACGTTATTTTTGCTCACCTAATAAAATCTATGCTACAGTCAACTATTGAAAGGGTGACAAAAGAGAAATTGGTGGCTTAGCAACATTTCCAACGTCAGCATTTCAGACATTCGTTTTCGGACATGTCAGACTAGTCTCATACATGTAGCATTTGTGCACAGGGTGTCAAGTGGCGTCTGAATATGACTCTTTCCTTTTGAAACCATTTCTTCTGTTTTATTTTTGAAGTAATCTTCATGTAAGTTTGAATTCCATCGGACTCTGCAAAGCAAAGAAAAATGGACTTAAACTTATAGCAGAGATATAGGCCTATATTAAGATGTTTTGGGATGTTTTCATACATGTGTAATGCAGAGCAAACTGATTTTCAAACAAAAAACGAGTGTGGCTTTTTTACTGAAATGCTTAAATTTTAACATGCATATTTCTATAAATCTTTGTTGTGATTTGTGCCATGTATAAATTCATTAAATGCTGGCTTCACTAGAAATTTCAAAAATTTAGAAATTGGAAATTAAATAGAGTGTGAAAAAAGATTAATTTTAATCATAATTAAGAAAATGAAGTTCCAACCGAACAGCGTCCTCACTAATTTATGCATGTCCCCAACCATGCCCCAATAATGGCAGTATGACAGTGTCTTGAATTTTGGGTGTGATTGGCCAATCTGCATGATGAGGATCACATGTACATTGTATGCTCTGCATGATTGGTCAATTCTGGGTAAAATCTACAACTTCACTTGCCCTTTTTGAAATGTCTCTCACAATCGTGAATTAGAAAGAAAAAGTGATTGGCTGATGGTGGAATTGTCACGTCACGTAAAGATTGAGTGATTGGACACACGTTGACCTACTGCACCCAACATCAACATGGCCATTATGCCCATTAAAAGTTGACAATTCAGCCAGTGAAACATTGACAAGTTACCATATGACTACTTTTAGGCATTAGACCTGTGTTCTTTCCACACTTTGCACTTTAACTAGCCTTTCACTTGTTTATATGTGGACCTGGGATGTGTTGCCCATAAATTGGGCCCAGGCATTGGACTTCCTGCATCATCTGTCCATATCCTAAGCTTCACTGTGTCAGTGTGCTCTGTCAGGTGCGATTTGGGGATATTCTATTTCAGTAAGAGTTACATATACTGTACGGACATTACTGATTATCCCTTGCAGTAGTTTCTTAGCCATCAGAAAGTGATAAAATGTTCTAAAAAGTCAAATTAAGCAGGAAAAATAGTAACATGATTGAAGCAGTTATTCAGAAAACAAAACATTATCAGACCGATCTCTCAGGGTTTGCACACAGGGTATCAAATGATAATCGGATATGGAGCTGTTTGTTATATTTCAGTTTGGAGGGTTCTGGATATTCCCTGCCTGGGGCATTTACTTACTAAACGAACTAACTGAAATGACTTAAATGTAGAGATCTGTTTGTAAATTCGTCATTGGAATAGAAGATTTCGTAGCTATTACACGGAAATAACAATTGCATTCTCATTATTTTAATGGTCCTCAGATTTGCAAGTGTATTTGGGATATTGGCATAGTACTGCATTTGTGCAATGTGTTGGTAACATAAATGTGTGCTGAACATTCCGCGCAACTTCACACTTTATTGGCACACTAGCACAGAACAAGTGCATCAAGGACTTTGTAGTTCATTGAAAGGCTAGCTTGTCTTTGAAGTGACTAACATTTCAGTGAACATGAAGTTGTGGGAGTGGCTGATCATGACTGGAAATCTAAGCGTAAATGTTTTGGGGCGATGACACAACTTTCAATAAAGTATTCTGTCCCCTCTGTTTAATTAAATTTTTTAGGTTCTCATTTCTTTTTCCTTTTTTGTTTTGTTTTGCCTGCAGGATGTCAAAAGTGACAAAAATGACCAGATTCTCGTCAAAGTGAGAGGACAGGTAATGCTGATTTCACAAGTGATAATTGCCCAAAAAAATCAGTTGGTTAAAAGACTACCACTCATTTTTTATTGTGAAATCCTTTATATTAGGCTAGCAAAGACGTCTTCAAGTATACACAACCATTTCATGTACATGTATTGCATTTTTGGTGTTTGAAATTACCTGAAGCAGTTTTTTTTCTGCAAAGGTTCCTGTTAGGAATGATAAAACTATCCTCCCTCCTCTGGTATGTTTATTGAAAAGATCTAAACCTTCCAAAACTTTTAGTTAGTCTGTTTTCATAATTGCTCATTCAAATACTGGCATAAAGCCCACTGGTGTCTGTTATTTCTACTACTGCTTAGCAAACCGATCACAGGAGATGTAGATTTCATGACACTTTGGTTAGTAATCAGCATTTTTGCTGAGCAAACATTGTCTGTGCTTTACAGTGTGCTTGTTTTGCATTTCTTTGAGACTCACCCCTGGTGCGCAGTGTTGACAAATAGTAATGTAATGCAAAATATTCTAATGTTCTTTTCC